TAAATTTAAATATAAATACAAATTCATACATATAATAACTTACTTGAGTACATCCATTTATAGATAGACAAATTTAACTATCTCTTTTTAAATACAAATAAAATATCTACTTAAACAAATTAGATGCACACAAATATCACATGTACATATCATACACAATACTCTGCCCTGGTCAGTAGAGGCTACAATGGGTTGCGCACTAATAGGGCTTGGTCAGATGGATTGGAGGCCATTGGACTGGGCTTATTTGACTTTGTATTATTGTATAACCCATGGACTTAGTGATACTACAGTAGTATAATTATTTTTTTGGAGGAGGGAGGTTTCCACCCCATGGGATGACGGATGAGAGACATACCATAAGTTTTTCTCTGGACTTCTTTCCTGGTAAATGGGTTCACCATCACCAATGGATTTCCTCCTATCCAAATGGATTTCCTCTAATCCACCCGAGTGATAAATCATAAATGGGGCCGGGGGCCGTCGGTGGCCACTAGCAATGAGCATCAGGTGATTGGACAAAGATTTGATCACATCTGAAATCATGAAAGTAATTTTGCACATTTGCCAATTCACTTTTTTTTTTTAAGGGAAAAATGGTTAAATTAGGTGTTAGAATCTGTTGCTGCTATTAGGGAGATTGAACTTTGGAGTTGTGTGCATTTCACCTGTTACCCAATGAGCAGCATGGCCACCATTGAACTAGATGGGGATTGCTTGCCAATTCACTTTTAAATATAATATATAGGTTAAAACTCCATTTTGGTTCCTCAACTATTGTACGGACCTCCGATTTGGTCCATAAACTAAAAAAATCCCTGATTTGGTCCCTACTGTTTACCATTTTGACTCCAATTTGGTCCTTCCATTAAAAATTGACTTACGTGGACCGTTACTTGACGGAAAAAAAGATGACAGTTTAAATACCTTGCCACATAGGATTGATAATGAAATAAATTATAAAAATAAAACTATTAAATGTTAAATTATAAAGATAAAATTACATTGTTACCCTATCTTCAACCACACATCACTTTCTTTCCTTCCTCCTTTCGTTGCCCCTTACTTCCCCCATACTTTTCATCTCCAACCTCTTTCGTTGTTCATCTTCTTCCCTTGGATCCTTGTTTGCCGGCTTGGGTTTTAATTCTCTCCTTTTCTCATCTCCTCATCATCTCTTTGCTTTCATCATTTATCATCTCCTCTTCGAAACCCAGCAAATCGATGGGTTCTTCGATCTGCTGGGTTCTCGAGAACCTAGCGATTTGCTAGGTTTGATTTTTTTTTTTAATATTTATGTTTAGAAGCTTGAATTTTAGGGATATTTTTGGGTTGCAGCTGATTATTTTGCTAATGAATATTTTGTTTGTGTGGGCTATTCTCATTGAGAATTTGGCAAAAATTGGTTGAGGGAAAAAATTTGCCCATATGGCTGCTTATGATTATCGAACCCAGCGATCTTCAGAGTTCGATTTCTTTTTTTTTTTAATATTTATGTTTAGAAGCTTGAATTTTGGAAAAATATGCCTTGATATTTCTGAGTTTTTTTGGGGAGGTTGAAAGAAAGAATTTA